AGAGAGAGAGAGAGAGAGAGAGAGAGAGAGAACGATGTATCCCAGTTACGTTGTAATAAAACTAGAGTTTTAAATGCAAATCTAACAAGTTTCCAAAATTTGCAGAGTAAATGAGATTATGAGACTCTTTGGGATTATTAGCCAATATTAACACACTATATTTCTAACAAATAAACGAATCAGCAATCCTTCAAAAAGAAACGAATCAATATAATGAATTGGTGTTCTCCTATAATTTTCGGTGCAAGGGTATTTCACGTATCATTTCTCAAAGTTCGAGTCGCACCTCGGGAGCAGCATGCTCGAGGGTCGCGTTCGCACGCTGGCGTTTAGCGTCCAACGTGATTCGCCACCTGACCGTAGGGTTCGATTTCAAGTCGCGATCTCTCACGTCCGCCGTTGGCTCCGAAGACTCGTCCTCGAGAGATTCTTCGACGTACGACAACGACTTGCCGGCCGCTCCGCGATCCCCGACGGCGCCGTTCGGTTTCGCGAGATCGAAGGAGCCCCTTCGCACTCGAAACGGCGACACTATGTACTTGCGATTCCATCCAGGAACAAAAGTATCCCGCTCCTTCCCGGAGGACGCGCCTCGTGCCGCCTCGTCTCTCTCTGCGCGCGACTCTATTTCGTTCCCAAATCCAAAGAGAGGATTAGAGAATCCACAATGAGCGGAATTGTCGCGAGTTGGCACGTCATCCTGTACGGTCACGGAGGAAGACATTGTGCGGGAGGAAACGTCGGTCCTCGTACTGGACGTCATTTCCGAGATATCCTCCGCGGACAACCGTCTGTTCCGCAAAAGATTCGAAGGATGCTCGAGCGAGCGTTTAGATTCCTTCAGGTCTGGATGCAGAGCGTCGAATCTATTCTGGATCCTTTCTCGCCAAACCGAAGACCCCGCTCGACAGTCCATTCTAAAAACAGTATTGAAATTCAAATGAGTCAATTATTTAACATTTTTACGTTTTAATAATCAATAACTTGGGTATTAATTGCAACTCCTTGCATAATTGAATAGTCCATTTCTTATTTTAATAAATTGGACCACAAAATGGGTAAATAATTCCTTAGAAAGTTTATATCTTTTCCAGAATTTTTCATCACGTATGAATTCTGAAATATTCTAAAATTTCTCATTTTATAATTTCAAACATTTACATCTCAGAATATTCGCATATTCGAAAAAAAAACTAAGTATAGGCTTTCTCAGTATTTCTGAAAAGTCTACCAATTCGTGGAATTATAGAATAGTAAACGTTTACGACAATCCCTAAGAAACGTCACGCTAACAGGATTAACGATTCCAAAGATTGGATTAAATTGCGATGCAAAAGCAATACACTCTGTATGTACAATCCCTTCGACCGCCATTTTCCTACGAGCTCATCTCGCAGACTTGGACGGACTTGGACGGACTTGCCTGCCGCCGAGTCGCGTCGACGCTTCTCGCGCGGCTCCGCCGGGCGCGGACGCCGCTCGCAAGGTGTCCACGTTATCCGCGAGATCGGCCGGGATCGCGAAGAGCGCGAGCGGCGCGCGCCTCACGACGAGCTTCTCGACGACGTAGTCGTAGCTATCGGCCTCGCACTCGACGATCCGGCTGCTCCTCACGCGTGGCTCAGGCCCGAAGCAGCAGAACAGCGCCTTCAACTGCCTCGCCATTCCGTGCGTCTCGACGATCGTCCCGCGAGCTCCTCGTTCCTCCTCCCAGTCGTCGTCGCCGACGGCGGAGTACGCGGAATCGTCCGACATTTTCAAATCTGAATGTGCGTGCGCGCTTCCGCAAGACCGACGAGTTTATTCGAGAAAGCGCGGACGTCGGGTGGATCGGAGGACCTAAAGGCCTGTGTCCATGAGGGTCCAAGTTCTAGTTCCAAGAAATGTACAGCCAATCAACTTGCAGCTTTCATGGACGCATAGCTCGTGCGCTTGCACGCTACGCTCGCGTGCGATTGGACGACGCGTTCAGCGGGTTCAGCCTCCGTTTCGGCCTCACGGGTCTGTTCCTTTTCTTCCCGCGCACCTCACGCCTCTTTCCTTTTCTCGCAGCCAAATCGCACTCCGTTTCGAGCTGCGCGATTCGATGTAACCGCGGCGAGCGGATCATCCGTCGTGTCTGTTCGGCGCGAACGCGCGCGATCATCTCCGCGTCTCTCCCTCGAGTTGTCCAGGGCCTGGGGAAAACGCGTCACCCGGCTCCGTCCATGCGAACCGCCCCGCGACGGCCATCGTCACGTATCGAGTAGTCTCGGGGGGGTTTTCTCCTCGATCTCCGCTTCGATCTTCGCGATCTCCGGCCGCGCGGTTGCGGCACGCGGTTGTGTGCCAGCGGCGTCCTCGGTGATCGTTGACGTAGCAATCTCGTTCCGAGAGCGGGCGTCGCCCACAGGACTCGACGAGGGAAGCGAGCGAGCGAGGGCAAGCTTTCTCCAGCCGAGGTGAGTGCCGCGTGGTCGTTGGTGCCTCCGACTCCAGCCCGACACCCGACTCGCCCCGTCTCCGTCCCTGTCGCTGTCCCGACGACGGGATCAGCAATGGCTGCAGCGCGACGCCCGAAACCGTCGCGTGTCTGACGTAGGCGAAGCTCGCCCGTCGATCTTGCCGGGCCCGCGTCCAAAATCGCGCTAGGTTACGGGGCTTATCTCGGTCCGCGAGCCTTCGCGTCGCGATAAGCGTTGAAACGGGGAGATAAGGCCCGTTTTATCGTCCTCGCACGAGGACGGGCGAGCTGCGTCGTAGAGATCCAAGCGTGTGGCTCTTCGATTTGTCTCGAGTTATAGCGTAAGGTTCGCCTACCGATTGGTAAATTTGCGCCTCTCGGTGTCTGCTCCCTTCAGCGGAACTGGCGGCACCAGTTCAGAGTTTGTCTCGCCTTCCAATGCAGCGGGAAGGAAATTCACCCCGAACCATCCAGTTGAGCTGAACTGAACAGACCCCAAACAGCACGTCTCTAAGTCGTCTTTTCGAGACGTACGTCTGAAAGACTACTTAAAAGATATCTTTTTACACACGCGTGCTGATGGGGAGCCTCGGTTTGACGCGGGCTCTCAGGGCCAGTTTCTTAAATAATAGGACGGAAAACGTCGCTTGCGAAACTGGCCCTTGGAGTCAGTTTCACAAACGTCGGTTAACTGTTAGCCGTTCAGTCGACTCCCTATTTTTTTCCATCTTATTATTTAAGAAGTTGTTAACAGTTAATCGACGTTTGTGAAACTAGGCCAGCATTCGTAGTCGCATCTTATATTCAAGACCGTCTGAGGATCACCTTTAGATACTCGTCTTCAGATAACGTCAAATTTGGTTGACTGTATCTGGCGATTTTTACGTTTGAGAATCGCTACGTTTCGACCGTGGGTTTTGGTCCTTTTCAAGCGATCCGACTGAACAGGTCGTGTATATCTCAGTCGGATCGCTTGAACAGGACCAAAACCCATGGTCGAAACGTAGCGATTCTCAAACGTAAAAATCGCCAGATACGGTCAACCAAATCTGATGTTGTCAATTATCGCCGGCGACCCTGAATCGTTAGATCGTTAGATAAATTCAAGACGGCCTTGAATATAAGATCTGAGACTGTGGATACCTGTGGATTCTCGTTGATGCCGCAACGAATGCAACGCAACACATTTATGTACGCAGGGAAGTTGGCGCAAGCAATGGAATCCGAGTCCAGGCGCAAGGGCCCCAGAAGCCCCAGCGCCGATTCGGACGACTCGTCGCATGCCAGGAGGAGACGGAAGTACGATCGGTCGCCGTCCCCGAGGAGGAACCGATACCGCCGCTCTCGCTCCAGAGACAGAAGGTCTCGCTCGAGCTCCAGGGACAGAAGGCGCAAGGAGCCCAGCAGATCCCAAGATTGGAAGCAGCAAGCTCCGCCGGCCCAGACCCAGACCTCTGTGCCCAATCCGAGCAATTCCGCCGGCTATGTTCCGGCGGTGCATAATCAATATCAGGTACAAACAGGTTTCGCGAGCTTCATTATGCCTGTTTCTACCTGTGCAGATTAACTTCAACTTACTTTATATCTTTCTCCAGTTTTAAAAGTTAGAGAAAGGGTAATTTGAACTGAGGTTAAAGCTGGTCCGCGCTGGCGGAAGCGGACACGAGTCAAATTTGTATCGAATTGATTATATCAATCGAGTGATTAGTAACGAGGGACATTCGTAAATAACACAGATAATAGAAGCACCGTTGACGAAGCTAGAGACCTTGGCGCCTAATTTTCTTTGCGTATCTTTTCTCGGCAAAGCCGCGATGACTTTTTTCAGTTTTGAAAGTCGCAGTACTAAAGTCGAAATAGTAGAGGAAAGTCCTCTATTCTATTTATTGACTGAAAAATGGATGGATTAACTTCGTTGGTATATTTTATACGTTCTCGGTGTTTACTTAGGCGCCTCCGCCAAACACGAGCCAGCCGCCGCCTCCCATCTCCGCGTACAACCAGGGATACAACAATTACGGTTACAACTACGGCCCGGGCTACGACTACAGTTATCAGCAGCCCGCAGGCTATCGAAGTGTAAGTTGGAAACAAGACCGATACATTCTTAGCTTCACTCGCAAGAGAGATTGATTGACTCCTGGGTCGATGCAATGTGAATGTTTGAGAACGTATTCTAATGCCAGAGCACGCGCTCGCGTGGCCTCGTAAGAACCTATTGCGCACCTTTTGCTAAGCATTTCAGAAATAGTCGTACCGCTGCGTTACCGAACATGATTTGTACTCGGTAGCGTATCTGTTTACGCGCTCCCTCGGAGCGCCATACGATTACACTTGTCTCTATCGCATTATTGTGAATCTCTCTCGTTGTCAGTAAGTATAACATTCGCGTTGTGTATTTTTACTGGCACTGATATTGGAAACCCATAATATTGACTACACCGTTACATCGCCAAGACTTCCAATGTATTAGCCAAACTCCTCATTTGAGTATCGTCCGATGAAGGTAAGGGTCGATAAGAGTGCCGTTGCACGACTTGAGATTGACCGGGCGTATCAATTCTGTTAGGATTACCCGCCGCCCAACTGGCAGGGAAGTCAGGTGTCGTATAACAGCCAGCAGGCGCCGCCGCCTCCCTCGTTGACGCCGCAGCAAGAATCGTCGAGGCCGATCGACAGCGGTTCCTCCGGCCTGGTGACATCCTTAACGAGACCTGAGGATGTCAAAAAAGAAGGTGAGCAATTCATTTGCGATGCGTCCGAGTTAACGTTAACGTTTGCCCGACGTTCATTTCGCAGCTATCGCAGCTGAGGTGAAACAGCAGAAAGCGACATTGGCTAAACAACGAGAGGAGTATGTTAAGAAATCAGCCACGTTGCAACGCGAACTGGAAATTCTGCGTCAGCAATGTGACGAGATAGGCAAGGAGGGTGGCCGTGAGAATAATCGAATTTTAAAGGAGAATCAGAAATTGCAGGTAAGCGTACACGCGTGGTTTTCCATCGGTACGTCCCTCCGTGGTCAATATTTCTCTGAGTTGTAATGCGTTTGCAGATCGAGATACAAAATAAAATGAAGTCCATTCACAATGTCATCGACATGCTCACTGGTATCATCGGTGACAAGGTTACCGTGGACGACCTGAAGAGCAAGTTTAAGCTAGAATTGAGTAAGCGTTCGAGAAGTCCAAAGGAGGACTTCCCGAAAGGGAAGTCCCCTTCGCCCGACAGATCGTCAGCTTCCGATTCGGATAAGGAATCCAAAGCGGAAAGAGATATTAGGGAGAGAAAGTCATCGGAGGACAAGCCAATGTACAATTTCGTTCACTACGACCCCGAAATGCATTGGTGTAAAGTCTGCGATATCTTTCCTAAAACAGCAAAGGAATATTTAAATCATCTACATAGCAATGAACACAAAGAGGCTTGTGTAGTAAGTAACATTTTCGAGCAGTACAATCGTCATAAAGGAGATGCCGGAGTGATCAAAATATTAGAGAAAATAGATATAGAGACTCTTGTGCGAATATAATTGTTAGTTGCCATAGAGAGCAGGTAGACGAAAAGATATACGCATATATGTTTTCTATAATTAAAGAAACAAATGGATTAATTAATCATTAAGGCCATACATGTATTTGTAGTTCAAACTATATTTGTAACTGGATGATATATTGCACAGTAACAACACGCAGGTACTTGGTACATAATGCAATTTTTGATGTACCACATATCGATATTTATTAAAGAAAAAAGAAAAGAGTACCGAGTTTCTTGCGCCTGATATAAAATCCGGTGTTCACTAATGTTCCGTTTTATACGATAGGAGCGCAAGATTGTTGACATGCCATGGCATGAGCGAAATGGCGAAGGGACAGAAAAAGAAGTACCCTATTATCACGGACTACCGACGAAAAGAACGCCTATTAAAGGTAAGGTCAATTACAGTGGGCGATTACTAATAGAATATAATTCCGTAGCTTGTGCACAGATAACTGTGGTGTTCGGTATGTATTGAAGAGATCAACAATCACGAGTTGCTTGAAAATTTGTCTATCCCGAGTAAATCGGAGCGTCCGCGATTATTCGAATGTCGATCGAAGCGTTAAAGCCAATATAATTCTGATTCGTATATCGCGTAAAAAAATCGGAAGACGTGTCGTGTAAGTCAGAGACTACTTTGACGGTCGCACAAATTTTCCAGCAATGTCGCAAACACCACAGCGATGCATTGGATTTTATCTGGATTCAAGAAGCGCACTTTCCGAGCCGGCTTTCTGGCAATGTCACTTTATCGTGATCACGTGTCTAATTTCATTTCCCCACAACACTACGTTTTACACAATTTAGGGTGATCGTCTGTCTTCTGGACTAGATCCATTGAGATCTTATCATCGTGGAGTGCATTGCTTGGCAGAAAGTAATGACGCATAAGATAATGTATATAAAGCATTTTGTGTTGCTCTTAACTGAAATATATATATATACACACATATGTGTAAGTTTTAGTGAAGTTACGCGAAGAAAGTTACAACTATGATTTACATTGAAAATGTGTATTATCTTTTCAATATTATTAATTTATTTAGAGGAAACATTGTATTAACTGTTTGTAAAATATACTGCAAGTGCCCATTCGTATAATTGACACACAATTGTTACGTTGCAAGTCGTATATATTCGATGGAAAAAGAAGCCTTGAATCCTGAGACCAATTAAAATTAAGCAGTTGCAATATATTCATATAAAAATATATATATAATGTACTTTTAACTTATCTGTATATATATTTATGTGCATTATTATTTGTATCGTGTACAGACAACATTTCTGAGAAATAAAACCGATTCTTTCTCTCCTTCTCTCCCCTTCTGTCTTTTCTACAGATCATCGTGGGAATGCACAAGGAAATTAAATATATTCGGCCATTTATATCGAACATCTTTTAATGTATTATTTTTGTTTTCAGTGACATGAATGTGTCGCGGCAGAATATAAGGTCATTCTTTATGAACTTATAACGTTTACCCGCTTCGAAGCCTAAATAAGCTAACTGCAGGATTGTTTGATTATAGGGCTACAGTTCTTCAGCGCAGCAACGGCTTGGTATTGTAAGCTATGCGACTCCTGGATAGGGGATCTTCATTGCGCTAGTCTACATCTTAAATCTAAACGGCATTCCGAAAATTTTTCCGTAAGTAATCTTTTTCACAGATAACAATGAGTAGATTAGATTACGGCGAAAGATTTATCTTGCAAAATAATATTGAAAATAGAATTACAATTATAAGTGATTTTTTAAATAAATTTATTGATGGAAGTAGTTACTTGAAGCAATAATTTGAAATCGAGTAGAGAGATCATTTTTGCACAATTCCTTTTTCTTCTTTTTTTGTATGAATATATATGCTCGATGCAAATAATTTAATTGGATAATGTATTGTTCAGCGGTTTGTGGAGCAAAATCCGCACTGGGAAACTGACTGGATGGCAGACAGAGAAAAGGCATTCTCCGAGGAAAAACACAAGCAGATACAGTTGGAATTGCAAAAGCAGAAGGACGATGATCCTCCGACAAAGTCGAAGAAATCGAAGAAGAATAAGAAAAAATCGAAGAAAGCCAAGAAACGCAGAAATAGAAGCAGCGCTAGTGATTCGTCGAGTGAATCAGAGGATTCCGGTACAGAATCCGATCAAGATACCACCAAGAGTATACGCGTGGCGATGCGAAACAAGATGAAAGCGTCCACGCAGGCGATTCTGAATGAGGAGATAGATTATCAGCGTATAAAATTGAAGGGACACTGGTCGAAGGCACCGCCACCAATGAATCAATCGCCGCTGCCCGAGCAACATCCGCCAGAGACGGACGACAGACAACTCTTGAATTCGATCAGGGACAAATTGAAAGCCAAGCAGGAGGAAGAGATGAAAAGTCGCAAGGTGAGTCAAGACAAGATGGAAGAGGAGGAAGAAGACTCGCAGCACGATATCTACTCGAAGAAATCGGAAGATTTGGAGGCCTGGGGCCCGAAGGAGCCACCCAAGCCTTTCTGGATAAAGAAGGAAGAGGAGAAGCAGTCGCAGCCGATCGTGACAAATAAACCGATCGAGTTGCCGAAACCGGAAGAGATGCCGAAGCCGCATATGGGATTCTGGACTAAGCAGCAAGTAAACATGACTGTGAAGCCGCCCGAGAGTAAATCAGTGGACAAAGAGGAGGAGAGGGACCGCGATCGAGATCGCTACAAGGACGATCGTGATCGCAAGTATAGCAGATACGAGAGAAGGAGTCGGCGCGATAGAGATCGGGATAGAGATAGGGACAGGGATCGCGACTACTATGACGACCGTCGAAAGAGGGACAGGGACAGAGATGGTAATGATTCTCCAAGGCGTGATAGAAATTGGCGCGACAGCCCCAAGAGAAGTTACGACAAATACAGTAAAGACAGGCGGGGAGATAATGACAATTCGTCGAACGACGAATCGAAATTCGACAAGAAGTCGAGCGAGTCCAAGTCGAAGAAAGGCGTCGTCAAGAAATCCGCGCCGCAAGTAGCGGCCAAAGGTAAGTTGCCCTTCATCGGTAGATTGCCTCTGTTCAAAAAGAAGGCGGAAGAACCCAAGTTACCAGAAAAGGACATTGCTCCGTTGCCCTATCAGCAAAGCAAGTTTGAGGATACGCCGAAGGTACCGAATGAGATCATCAATCCACCCGGCGTTGTGCATATCACCAAATTAGCTACCCCGGTGAACTTGAATAATAACAGCAGCACTGCGACTTTACTGACAAGCAAGACTAGCAATCAGACTATGAAGATTCTAGTAGCCCCGCCGCCGCCTGTGCTGAACGAGACCAAGCCGACCCAGCAGGTGGTTGACATGGAGATAGACGACCAGTCTGAGGAAACGGTCATAGAAGAGCAGCCGATAGTGGAGCAGCAACAAAAGCAGAAGCAAACTTCGAACGTGTCGAAACTGCCGTTACCTCCACATCCACCGCCACCGCTGAATAGACCACCGCCTAGTTTCACTCCGAGCCAGCAATCTTCGGTGCAGAGTAGACCCCCACCAGTGCAGAGTTCCTTACCGGCCCCACACTTCACGCCAAATCGACCGCCACCGCCGTTTATGTCAACTCCACCACCGTTCGTTCAGGCACCGCCGAGATTTTCGCCTCGTCAAACTGCGCCGCCCGCCGCCTTCATGACGCAGCCGCCACCGATACCGAACGCAAACTTCGTGCAGAATCATCAGAACCCGCCGCCGCCGCCTATAACGACTGCGGTGGACTCAGGCGCTGTGGTGCCACCGCATGCCGACGTGGCCGACATACCGGAACCGTCGGAGAAACGCCCGACAGACCCGAGCATTCCGTTGCCGGATGATCTACAAGAGGCTCTCAACATAATCTTCCCCAAAGAGGAGACGGCCGAGACCAAACAGCAACAGCAACAACAGAGCCAGCAGGAGTCTAACATTATGTATTCTTCGATGTACAGCATGTTGGGCTGCGTAGGCTACGGTCCTGAATACATGGATCAGCCGCCGCCCGAGATTATGCAAGAGGCAGAAACGGACACGCAACCTGGACCCGACGATCTTCGCATGTTGGGCATCGATGAGGGAGATACGATTTTGTAAATCACTCTTGTGACGTACAAGTTTGCATCTGGCGCTCCTGTTAATCTTCACGAAAAGTTCTACTGCTAGGAGAAGATTAATCTATTATTGATCCATTTATCATTGTTCATTTCGATGATATCTGATAAATATTTTCATTAAGGAAAAAAGGAGCAGCTACGAGACAGATAAGCTGGAAATACTGTGAATATAAAGCCAGCCCCATGAATCGCGCATAAGTCTGACATCAGTTTTCAAGCGATATGTATGGTCTGTAAAGATTACTTAATACAGTATACAGTAGAATTTACAAATTGTCCGCTAGATTATAATGTTTGTTATTTCGTTAACACAGTAACCGTCTTCTCTTCGTTTGACGAGATATTTTTCGTTAGTTTTGGAACTCATACTTATTGCACAATCAATATTACATCTCGACATTGGCAACAGCAACGATTGATGTATAATAGTTTTAAAACTTCATCTATCTCTTGACTAAAGTTGTAAGAAGTATTTGTTGAAAAGCGATAAATCTGATTGACGTTATGGAAATGTTATCGATGCATAAGTCAAAAAGTAAAACGAGATATGTGTGTAATATCAATAAAGAAACGCAAATTTCATATTGTGTACCATATTGTGTATCAACATTGATATTGTATATCTTTAATATTGCAAATCCATAACTTTCAAGCTTACAATATATATATATATACAATGCACTTTCAAATGTAAAAGAAATGTTCACGTCGATTTTTTGTAAGCACAACAGACTTGAACGTTGGAATGTGAGATCGTGTAACATTGGAGACGTTTATATTACGACATTTCCCGAGATTAAATAATTCTTTTTCTTTCTTTTTAAAAGAGTGACTCTGTCTCTTCGATCTTTCTGTTTCTTTAAGTTTAGTCTTATATACGGTCGATTACTAAAGATAATATCACATTGCCTCTGCTTTTCGAAGTTAAGACGTCATAGCTACGAATCTATTGCTGCAGAATTGTTGAAGCTATCGCTATTGAAATATAGGTCACATGGCACTATTTTTATATATTCAAGTTTTCAGTACTCAGGAAATTTCACGATTTTCGATTTCGTTAACTGTATTCTTGTAAAAATGCTTAATCTATCGCAGCATCGATTAACTTACGTAGTATATTAATATCGGAATGAACTTCTTTCAGTTAAAATTAGTCTACAAATGCGAGAGTAACAATACAATGTTCGCAAACATTGACGTTAGTACCAAATCGCTATCGATAATCGTATATTAGGCAGAACGTCACAATTTGATAAAACGCACTCCGAGTGCATAAAAGAATTAAATTGTGCTTTTATAATAGTTTAACGATGCGCAATCAGTTCTATGTGTCCAGTCTCTATCTTTCTTGAAGTCAAATGGAATGTAAAAAACCAATGTAGAGTTTCACGCGTGCTACAGACGTGATTTAAAGGCCTACTTTAGGATTTCTGTTTCGTCGTCTACGTGTATGCAATGGATGGGATTATAATTCGTAATGCGAACACGGCGGTGTTGGTAAAACGATCCCGTCGTATCGATGCGTGCCCATTTAAATCTGAAGTACGAGGCCTGCGCTGGAAATGTTATCTCCGCCGCCTGCCGTCTGACTAGCCTGCGTGCAAACCAACACGGGAGCGACGCACACCTGAATAGAAATATTTTCCTGCTCCACCTTCAGTACCTCGTCCCAACAAGAGACCGGCTTGTCGATGTTCAACGCTATTCGAGTACCGTCATTGATGGACGTCGAGAAACTATCGTCCATGATCAGCGTCGCCTTCTTCACATCGACCTGCACGAAATCAAATCATTTTTAAATAATCTACACGTAGCGTTTTAATACACAAATCAAATGAGCGCCATATATACGCGATAATCTCCGATGTTCCATTCGAAAGAAAGTTGCGTCTTTGGTAATTTATAATTTATCAAATATTCATCTCGTATATCCGAATGACTCACGTTACTCGACGCGCATACGTGTCTGTGTGCGGTCAGCGACGCCTTGGCCGCGGCAGCCATGGTATTCTTCCAAACGGAATCCTTGACGGTGAATATGGCCTGATAGGCCAGCGTGTGCACGTGGATTCTCGTGAGCTCTCGGGAATTCGCGATCGACTTGCCCCTCAGACGTATGAGTTTGAACAACGTTCTCATCTGATCCAACACCGTTGCGACGCGCGGTGTCGAGTTTGCCACCAGCGAGATGTTACCGTAGTACATAGTGTTGTACAGATTCGCTATCTCCTGCTCGTTCATGCCCAAGCTGTCGGCGAAGGGGACCACCAGGTCGCACAGCTCGAAGAGCAATTTATCCTCGGCGAACGAGGCCATCTCGAAGTGAATTCTGGTGGAGCTCGGACGTTCCACCATCTGCTCCTTCACGTTCACCAGCAGATTCTTGCGTTTGCCTGCGGAATCACGTGAACGTGAAGATATCTCGTTTAACGTGTACAATCACGGACATAATTCGCCGATGAGAAAGACTACCTTCCTGAAATGGATAATTATCCATCATCTGGAGACCGCTGACTACCAACAAGTCGGGATCGTAGGTCCCCAGGACTTTGTCGAAGGCGCTGAACGAGCTAATCATCGGATTGTTCACGTCGTTGTGGACGATATACCTGGAAGAAGGCATAAAAGTGTTGTTCCAGTTCGGTTTGCGTTATTTCCCAGCCGGCACGCGTGTCTAAAAGACATCTTTAAGACGCCTTTAAGATGCCTTCTGGATGTATGGACCTGAGTGACTGTCCTATACCCTCAAGACAATGTTTCATATCCTAAAAATCTCTGTCTTAAAGTAACGCACGATGAAACCAACGGCACACGATACTGTTTTGCCTACTGGACTGCTCGCAAGAGCAAACAAGGATGCAGAATGTTTCCAGACGCAAAGAGCACATTGCAGATTAAGCTCGAGTCTAAAAGATGTCGTTAAAGATATCCTTATGACGTTTCTCGGGCACGCGTGCCGCGTGGGTTTACCCATTACCTGTTTGCCCTCGCGCTGGAATAAGGGCCCCACACCTCGCCGTGCTTATACTCCATGATGAGGTGAATGTCGTCGCGCTTCACCTCGCCGCCTACTATGTTTATCACCTGCGGGAACATCTGGTGCAGGGATCTGGTCATTTTGGCCGCGAGGGTCACGTCGCATCCCTCCCGCGCGAATCGCATCGCCATGACCGCCGCGTTTCCTCCGATCGTCGAGTAGGACGAGGGGAACGAGCGTGCCTTCGACACCAATTCGTCGAATAACGTTCTGTTCGCCATGTAGCGTCTGCGGAGAAGAAATTCCGTTATTCCACGTAGAACGTAACCGCGCAGTTGTAACAGTACCGAGAATCTTTTCTTCGCCGGTAGTTATTCGGGATAAAAACGTAATGGGGGGGGGAAAAAACATTATTCGACGTATCTGGCAGTACCTTACTCCAGGAATCGCACGGCGTTTCGACCGAGAGGTCCGGTCCTTTTCAAGTGAAAAGCGTCTACATTCTATTGAGAGAATTAACACTAGCTCGTCTTGATTAAATACCAAGAGATATCATGGATAAAGGGCCAATAATATTACGAACGGCAATCTTTACAATGATACATAAAAATTTAGGTATAACAAAGTTAAAAATTGCAGTGTCTTCCTAATCTGACTTACATTGGTGTACAATTATGATAACGCATTTGCTGCAAATCTAAGCTTGGGGCGAGGACAAGAACACAAGATAAATAAAGCGTCTACACTCTAATTACGTTACGACCATAAGGCTTTTTTTCTACTGCCGCACTGGCGAACTGGTGCGATAAATATATCTTTCCTCTCATTCTAGCTTACTGCACTAGTTGGGCCAGTGCAGCGACAGAAAACAAGCCCATGGGTCGGACACGCCGACGGGACCCGGGTGGATGCTCACTCGGCCGCGGCTCCATGGCGAAAGTAGTAGGCGAAGCTCTTGAGCAGCTCGAGCTCGGTGTTGATCTCGTCGAAGTGCTCAGGCCGGCCGACCTCGTCCGAGTAGCCGAGCAGGTGCCTCGCGTCGATGAAGACGTCGGTGCACACGCCGTAGCCTACGGCGACCCTCGGCCGCCTGGTGACGACGTGCTTGCTCTCGAGCCTCTCGAGCCCGTGCAGCAGAGCCAGCAGCCGTTTCTGCAGGACGTCGTCGGCGTTGCGGTAGTAGATCGCCGCCAGCACGATCAGCACGGTGAGAAACGTCCCGAATCCTAACCTCCTCTTGTACCCCATACTGCCGTCGTCAGCGCGATCGCGCGAGTACCTAACCTCCGACGTCGCTCCGACCTCTCCTCCTCCTCCCTCCCGGATTCAGCGGCGATCGCGCAAATGCCGTGCAATTGACCGCGAGATCCGCATACGTGTACGTGCGTGTGCGCGTCACGCCGGTGACTGGACTGGACGCTCGAGGATTTCCTGCGATCGACCACGTCACGTCTGGGTGTCGTGTCGCGCGGAAATGTGCTCGGAGCCGATTCCGAGCGGAATCGTTCAATTATTTTCTAGACTTCTATTGCGTCTTCTAGGGGAAGTGGAATAATTCCGATCGGGGTCCACTCCGAGCGTTACCAGGACTGGTACCCTGGACCGCCTGGATGTCTGATATCACGATTGTCAGATTCGTCCAACTTGGCCTCGAAGTTGTACAACATCCCGGAGGAAAAAGAAACCATATCATGTATCGAATAATGTCAGATATGATAAAATTTGATCAGATTATGTCCAAAATTTTAATGCCTCCGTTTACGAGTGTATCAAATCGGATATGGTCAGATAAAACGGTATAAACATCTGACTATGGCCGGTATTCATAGTCAGATCTTATATTCAAGACTGTCTTAACGTTATCTTAAGATACTCCGTAGCCAATGAAATGTTCCATACAGCATCTTGAAAAATATTAAAATGTAATGTTACAATTGTTTTATGTATCAACAGTACATTGAACAGCCAATGTCGACACGAGTTCACAGTAATGACAATGTCCTGTTCGATATATTTTTGGAACATTAAATGAAAATATATCGAAGCCTTGATATTTTTATGTAATTTATTGAGCAATGAGTATATATTATGTGGTAAAATACTATTAAACTAATAATCTTTCTTTTGCACGATTGTCCCTGTCAAGCTAGGACGACGACAAGGTTCACGTCTTGTTTAGAAAAAGACGATTTGTATAATTAACGATTCTCTCACACATTTGTCTGACTACTTTAAGTACATACTGTATATAAAAAAACAGTTAATTTGTATCGTAAAAAAAATTCACTTGTATTAAACTATGCACACTGGTACGCCGATGTTTGGACCAAAGATATTTCCTGTCTGCGCGGGTGTAAAATTTTTCAAAGCTTACACCGGCTCCAAGTCGAACAGCCGACGATCTCCGCACAGAAAAAGAGAAGATGTCTTGCACATTGCGTACTGCGCGATACATCACATATAAAAAGTGCGATAACAATTACGTATAAACGTAATTAAAGCGATATTAAAAATATACATTACAACACAAATATCTCTTGTGATATCTGGATGAAATTGGAAGCAACAAACGAGCGAAAGGGGAAATACTATGTACAACATTCTGCGATTTGTCTGCAGCGATGTTCCTCGTTACTCCAATCGTCCAACTATCTCAGATCTATGTACGAGTTTTTTGTCAGGAACATGTACATCGAACTAGCAATTTGACGGAACTTGAAACGATTATATCTGACAATGTTTCACGCTTGGTATCCCAAACAGCGCAAGAAACACCTCTAGGGCCAAGAAACGTTCCCGAGATTTGCGCAGCAATTTCTCTTAAAATTTACCTTGAAAATCACGTAATCGTGGGTTAACGTGGCATTGTGAAGAACTGCAAAGGCCTGTGTCCACAATGCTAGAACTTGGTCCACGCTCCAGTTCCGAGAAATGTGTAGCCCATCAACTTGCAGCTTTCATGGAATAGTTGCAAGCTGATTGACTACGCCTTAAGAGAGTTTTTTGAAATTTTACTCTATACATTCTATTATAATAAAATGTATGGTACAATTTCAAAAAACTCTCATAAAATTCTTGGAAATGTCATGTTGTTCCACGATTACATGATTTTCAGGACACATTTTAAGAAAAACTCCTCTCCGTTTATTGGCAAATCTACGTTCATTCGGAAAATACAGATTCAACTCTGCATTAAAAGAATCCGGCGCGACAGCGTCTCATTGCTACAGTCAGTGATTCTTTCTATTAGCTCCGGTATTCCGTTTCGGGTGTCTCGGGCGAGATATCAATCGAGTCGAGTAGTCCAAGTAGTTTCTTTCACTCCTTGTTCTTCGTGTGCAGGCGCATGTGCTTCTTCAAGTTGTCGAGTCGGTTGCACCGACGGTCGCAATAATCGCACTTGTAGGGCATGAGGTTGCTGTGCACGACCACGTGGCCGTTGAGGTGGCTGCTCTGTTTGAAGCGCTTGCCGCAGATGGTGCAGCTGTACGGGCGCTCGTTCATGTGCGCGGACGAGATGTGCGTCTGCAGGTTCGTCTTCCGCGCGAATGTCGCCTTGCACACGTCGCACTCGAACGGCCGCACGTTGGCGTGGATCGCGAGGTGCGACTTGAGCACGTTCTTGTGCTTGAAGTTCTTCTCACAGAGGTGACACTGGAACGGCCGTTCGTCGTTGTGGACCTTCTTGTGCACCGACAGATGCGCCAGCTGCTTGAACATCTTGGCGCAGATCTCGCACTGATACGAACGGCCAATCTCGTGCGCGGCGCTGACGTGGCGGCGCAGCGTGTCCGCGAGGGTGTACCGCTTGCCGCAGATCTTGCACTGGAATGGCCGCTCGTTGGTGTGCGTCAGCAGGTGGCCGTTGAGGTTGCGCTTCTCGAGGAAACGCGCGCCGCACACGTCGCACTGATACGGCTTGTCGCCATTGTGCACGTACATGTGCTTCTTCAGCGAGCTGGACAGGCTGAAGCGCTTGGAGCACACGGGGCACTCGAAGGGACGCTCGCCCGTGTGCACCAGCATGTGCGACTTGACGTGGCCGGCCTGCTTGAACCGCTTGTCGCACACCTTGCAGTCGTACTGACGCTCCTGCGTGTGCGTGAATATGTGCCGCTCCAGCACGCTCTTGGTCGTAAACACCTTCTTGCAGCTGTCGCACTCGAACAGACGATAAACGTCACGTATCTTGGACGTCGTCGTCGCCGTCTCGTCCTTGTGCGAGTGCGCGTGTTGTTTCAGCAGCTCCAACGATTCCAGCTTGACGCCGCACACCGCGCATTGGAAGGACCGGTAGTCGTGATGGGTCAGCGCGTGCTGGCTGAGGTGGCCCAATTGTTTGAAGCTCTTGTTGCATAACTGGCACAAGTACGGCCGTTCGTTCGTGTGCGATCGCATGTGTCGCTCCAGCACGCTCGGGAAGTTGAACGTTTGCGTGCAGAACGCGCACTTCAAAGATTGCACCTTCGACACGCGAATCTCCGCGGTCGACTTCCTCCTGCCGGTCTGGGTCCTGGCCTTGCCGAGCCTGCCGGCGAACTCTTTCGTGTCCAGCGACGAGTCGCAATCCTTGCCCGTTGTCTCGGGCTCGGACGTCTCGCGTGTCACGGATCTTCCTTTGCTCGGCACGGCTGTTAACGCGTTGGCGCTGCTCCTCGTGCTTCTACTGACCGGAATCTCTCTCTCTTCGTCAGCCAACTTGTCCTGCCCGTGCGACTGCTTCATGTGCTTCGCGTACACTTTCGGGAAGTTAAACAGTCTGCTGCACAGCTTACAACGGAGAACCTTCTTCGCGTTGTGCGATCTCATGTGGTTCTTCAAATGCCCAATCTTCATGTACCGCTTCTGACAGTACTTGCATCTGAGGGTTCGACCGTCGTCGATCTTCAACTCGTTGCGTCGCGAGTCCTCGTCGATCCTCAACTCGTTGCTCGCGTCCGTATCGTCCGTGGACGTTGAATCCACCGTACTTGCGTTGCTCGCCAGAGGCTCGCTCTTCACGTCGACGTAACTAAAGGCGTTCACGTCGTCGGCTTTCGTAGACGCGTCTCGACTCCGCGCAGTCTCCTTCCTTTCGCACTGCTGAAAGAGAACAGATTCAATCATCGTGTACATTTATCATACGGAGACGTTATACATAATATTTTAATATAAATAAAACTTAATGAATATATTTTTGTTATATAGATTATAATAGAAAATTCTTATAAATAAAACATTATTATACAGGGTTGGGTAAGTTATCTTTTTTTTTAACTAAGTTAAGTTAAAAAGATGCATAGTCGACTAACTTCTGGTTAATTGTTAACCACAAGTTAGCAGACTATCTTTCGTTATATTATTATCTACACAGAGATGACGGAGAATGACTGACTAAATCGTAGGTCGAGAGACCAACTAAAAACAAGTAAAAGTCGAAGGAATAAATAAATAATGATATCCGGAATTAAGTTAGGTCGACAATACGGTCGCAAATAGCGTTAAGATCTTCCGTGTCTTTTTGTAAATTGATTGTATCATTAGTCTTATTTATATAAACCATTTCTGCTATCTCTCCGCTTCTTGTGTTGCTCTCGCGGTGTAAAACATGCGGAGACAACCAATCGAAATCACCAAGAGATGCGCGGTGCTTTTTAACGTAACTTTTATCTTTTCAACTAGACACTACCCAACCCTGATATTATAACATAATGCTGCGTTATTACATCGGTGCTGTTCGATGCGCTCTGCGCGTCTTCCGTCGTCGCAGCCGCATCTCCGCCTTTCTTATCCGACAAACGCTCGAGCCACTCCTCTTCCGTCCCCAGACCCGCCGTGTCCTTTTCCACGCCTTGAAAATTGTCGCACGCGTTTCGCCTGAACAGCACGTCGTACGGTACCCTGCCGTTCTCACAGCGATACGTCGAGTTGTGGGTGATCTGCACGTGGCTGAGCCCCTCGCACCAGGTCCTGGTCGGATTTTTCCTCACCCAGGACTCAAGCGAGCCCTTAAAATCCCTGTAGCTAACTTCACACCTGGACACGTCCCCGTGCAGCACGAACAGACCATGCCACAGCGAGCGTAGCTCGTGCACAACCTGCTCAGCAAATTTACGTCCGTTGCCGCTCTGCAGCACTCGCGGCGACCCTATGATCCCCAGCACGTCTAACAGACTCGCCGCGACCTCCTTGGCCGTGTCGCCACGGAGGGCCTTCAGCACGACGAACTTGGAAAACTGATCTTCGTACACGAAAAGATACTTGCAATTAAGCGTCGGGTCTACCGGCATCTCTATTACATCAACGCGACCCTTGTTGTACAATTTCTCGGAAGCGTCGACCGAAGCTTGGGGCGGCTGATTTAAGGAGTCCGCTTGATCGGCCTGAGTACAAAGAATTGTTATTAAAACGGGGGAAACTCATGGTCAACCCAACTGGCTAGTTACTTTATTAGTTTATTACTTTACTACACAACGTTTCGACCCCATTTTCTTGGGGTCCTTTTCAAGTGGTACTAAGTCAGTCATCGTCGTCGAGTAAGTCGGAGTCGAATTATAAAGTACGTGTGAGCACTGTGGTTGCCGGGCTCGAACTTCAATTAAAATTTCAATTAAATTCTCAATTATGATCCCTTGATCTAGAGACATAGACGCAAGGTGCGCTGAATTACTTCCGGGGAAAGTATCTGCAACTATATCTTTAAAAAAAAAAGAACCCACCGGGTCGCTGCCCCGTCGCTTGATCTCCCTGTCGCTCTCTCTGGGCGAGACCTGCAGCTGCGCGCTCAGGCTGCTCTGATAAAACTCCGCCTCCTCCTTTATGATGATGAAGTCCTGGCCTCTGTCCGCCGGCAGCAGGTGATCCAGGGAACCGTGCATGTACGCGTTCTGCGGCATCCACTCGACGCTCATCGGCATTTCTTTATTCATATTATCTCTGCCATGTGTCGCGTCTAACGCCGTTTCTCCGTACGCGCGGCTCCGCCGGCTCCGCCTACCATTCCCTGTAACAGATTAACACGATTTTACTCCAAGGTTACTCAAGCAGCTCGGTTAAAGAGATCGGCGGTCTCCTCGGCGAGGTCTCCTCCGCGTCGCGAGAGGCAGACCGAGTCGAGCGGAGTCGGTGCCGATTTCGCGCCACGATCGTCCTCGTTGCGACTTGCGGGGACTAAATTCGCGAAAAGCTCTCGTTACCTCGCGCGTCATTCATCAAAGCTTTCCTGCGTGTCGAAAATCAAGCCGGTATAATGGAATTGTCTCTCGGCCGAGTAATTAACCTGCAACGCGGGCAGGTTCAGCGAGCGCGTCGATCCCCAGGCGCTCGCTCGAGGGAGAAATCAGTCGGTTGCGATCAGGAATAGGAAACGTCCCACGTCCTCTCTCGCATCTTCCCGCTTCGCCTCGGTAAATCACAATAAGTCCAATTCCGCTCGTAACTGAGATACGTCAACCGCTCGCGTTCCTCGGCAACGCCACGGCCACGTAGCGTCAAGGCAGATTTTCATGGCACTCCGCGAAGGTTGGAGGTTGGCGGGACAGTCGACGGGGGAGGGGGGTGGGAGGACGGGGAAAATTTCGGCGTTTCCGAAAATCTGGGATTTATTGCGTCCGCGTATTTACAAGAGGCACGAAGGACTCGTCGCGGTATACAGAGATATTCAGGGTACGACGCATGCTCCGAGTACGTCAACAAGCGATGCACTTGCGATAACGAACCTCGTAACGCGGTAAGTTACCTCATCTCGCCTTATCTCGCCTCTCGTAGCCTTCGTCGTGCACGAGCGAACACGAATTTTGAGCGTGGCGTCTTGGGGTCTCGGTCGCGGAGCGCGAGTTCACCGCCGGACGAGCCTGGATCCTCGGGTCGTTTCTCGCACGGCGAAATGACGCAGCACCTGGACGACGCGCGACTCGCCGCACGTAGAGCGGTGCAATTCGACAGCAATGGTCGCTACGAGCAGGCCCTGTATTATTACGACGTCGCGATCAGGCTTCTGAGCGGCGCGCGGTCGGACGGCGCGTACGAGGACAAGCTCGCGGAGTATCGCGAGAGGATCTCGTCGATACGACGTCTCGGTAAGCGTGGTTTTCTGTATGCGCCCCCGACAGAGAATCTGACGGCCCCTGGCAATCTTTCAGTGCGCGAGGAGGAGCAAAACAATCACAAGCCCGAGCCCCTGCACCAGTCCGAGTTACAGAGATGCAAGTTCCTCATGAATCAGGCGCTGGACGCGGACGAAGCGGGCCTGAAGGACATCGCGGTGAAGCTGTACACCGACGCCGCCGCGCTTGGCCTTGGTACAGTAAGTAGGATTCCTCCTGTTCACAACGTACCTTTGAAACTTACCTTTATCTAACTTGCTCATGACGTGTTGCAGAAAACCGCCGACGCAGAAGTGAAGGCGAAACTGACGAATCTTGTTAGAGTCGCCGTCGAGCGGGCGGAGACTTTGAAAGGGATCAAAACTACCGAGGACACCGGTGTCATGAAATGCCTTGCTAAACTGCCGTCCGTACCAGAAAGCGGCTTCCCAGACACTGAACAGGCAGTACAGTCGGAGCAGCCAGTAAATGCATCATCGACCGCTCCAGGTAGTAAGATATAGTTTGTAGACGAAGGCGACGAAACGCTGTAACGCGTTTAACTTTCAGCGAGAGATGCCAGAGCCTCGCTACATCGGGGAAGCAGTGGGCATCTCAAAGTGACTGGTAGCAGCAATTATACCGAGGAAGAGAAGAAAGTACTGCTCTACGGCTCTCACATAAACGATAACGACTTCGTGCCGTTTATGAGTATCGATCTTGCTGAGAAGTTCCAATACGCCTTTCCATTTACCGACAAAGACGGACTGTTAGAGCTGGCGCCGAAGCAAAAGCCCGATTTCGCCGGGTGGCGCCGGCCGGAAGAGTTATATTCCGACCCCAAAATGCTCGTGGGCCATCACGTTGACTACTTCAGCATAAAACAGACTGTTAGTAAAACGTACTAATACAAAAGATATTGAAATCTACTCTTATTAGCTTAACAAGTAAAATTTATAAGGCTCTGACGTAAAATCACAAATACGAAGTAATACAGGATATAAGAGCCAAGGCGGGATGTTAGTGTCTAAAAGTTTACCTCAGCCAGGATATGAACCTGGATCTCGCTCTCACCAATTCGATCACCGAGGCATATATTTAAAAATTATCGCAATAAATTTAAAAATTAAAATCATTTAGACACTAACATCTTGGCTCTTATATCCTTTATTACTTCGTATTTCTTATTAGCTCGTTAGACTTGATGTAGCGACGAAACTATAGTACGCTTGAGTAATATCTTGTTGATGCTCTTGTATTTCAGGTAGTTTCCGATTGTTCGTTTGTTGCTTCCCTGGCTGTGAGTGCTCAATATGAGAAAAAGTTTGGACGGAGACTCATAACGTCCATTATTTATCCCAAAAATAAGTACAAGGAGCCCATATACAATCCATTTGGTAATTATTTACTTCAAGCGGCTATGTTACACAAGTATTGTTGATTATGTATACGTTCTGTGTAATACACTTGTTTATACGTTAAGCTACATGGAAGAAGTACACTTTGTACGAGCACTTTATTCCGATATTCGTACTTTTATTCGTGGCTGGTTTTCTTACACAGATACAATTTTAAACATATTTACACTTGATAAACATATCTACGCTTTCCTTACATTGAAATTATTGAAAAGGTACATTTAAAGAGCACAATCATTCTTCACACGAGAATTTATCTTGCATAAAATATGCGTATATTTTAATATTTATTATATATTAGAAATGATGAACATATAATGTCAGGAAAATACATGGTGAAACTACACATCAATGGCATTCCACGTAAAGTAATAATAGATGACCTTCTGCCTGTAAGCCGATACAACCAATTACTCTGTTCCTACTCTAGCAATCGTGGGGAGCTATGGATTTCTTTACTCGAGAAGGCTTATATGAAAGTAATGGGTGGTTATGATTTTCCTGGATCAAACAGCGTAAGTTCGTGTCTTCCCCGCAATATTAAATTACTAATCGCATATAATTTATCCCATTATTTAAAAAAAAGAAATCTTTTCAACATATATATTGGTCTTTGCAGAATATTGATTTACATGCCTTAACCGGCTGGATACCTGAGAGATGGGCGATAAGACCGAATGAGGTAGATTTCAATAAGGATAATTTATTTGATTTATTACTATTTCGACTTCATAAGGGAGACGTGCTAGTCACTGTAGCCACAGGAGAGTTATCGGATTTGGACGCGGATCGTACTGGCCTTGTACCGAGTCATGCATATGCTGTTCTAGATGTGAGGAAGATTAATGTAAGGGAAGCAAAAGAATTACTTTCACTTAATCTTTTAAATGTTCTAACAGTAGTACAAATGTAAGCAAGACTTTCTAAAATATTTAACTTATATTAATGTACACGTAGGGAGAAAGATTACTACAATTGAAAAATCCATGGTCTCACTTGCGATGGAGAGGCAATTATTCCGAACTTGATGCAAGTCACTGGACTCAGGATTTGAAGGAGACATTGAATTATGATCCAGAATCTGCCTCTGAATTTGATAATGGCGTTTTTTGGATCGATTATGACAGCATATGTCGGTTCTTCGACGTATTTTATTTGAACTGGAATCCAGGACTATTTCATTATACTTATTGCATACATCAGTATGTAACTCTTATTACATTTGTGTTATGTCACCGTCCTTTCTTTTCATGTACTATAGCAGAGGTTTAAAGTAATTTCATATTGTTACAGAATGTGGAAAGCTGGCATTGGACCTGTGAAAGATGCGTACAACATTGGTGACAATCCACAATTCTCGTTAGAGGTACAGAGTAAAGGGTCCGGCGCTATTTGGATACTTCTTACAAGGCATATTACGGACATAGCAGATTTTCGACAAAATCAAGAATATATTACAGTTTTAATCTATCGTAACGATGGAAAAAGGGTATATTATCCGCGTAAGTGCACAATACATTTTTTTATCCAACTTTGTATTCGTCTTCAATTAATGATAAACGTATCACGAAAAAAAAACTTTAGATGATCCACCACCGTACATCGATGGTGTGAGAATAAATAGTCCACATTACTTGTGCAAGATCAAACTCAATGATCAAAGTGATGCAAAATATACTTTGGTTATATCTCAATATGAGAAAACAAATACTATCTATTACACGCTCCGTGCATATGGAACATGTCCGTTTGTACTGCGGAAAATACCTCAGCTTTATAAATACGAAAAAGAGGTACACTATTTATACAAATACTTATTTACATTTTTTCCAACGTATTTTTTCGTCCTAATTAATTTGTTCCATTAACGCTCTTTTACAGGTTACAGGTCAATGGAAAAATGTCACAGCAGGAGGATGCGGCAATCATCCTACTTATGTGAACAATCCGCGATATCAAGTAGTGCTCGAAAGCGCTAATAACAATAATTACTTATTAATTATTTTGAAAGGACCTAAACAGTATCAAATAGGCTTCGACATTAACACCGTTGTAATGAATGATGCAAATGCAGAAACCGCGTTTAAAACAAAAAGTTCTGGACCATTTAGGTTTGTACTTTATCTGAATTGTTTCACTCACAAATTACATTCTCTTTACGTATTTTTGTATTAGTCATTTATCTTTGTTTCTGTTTACAGATCCGGATTTGTGTACTTGGAACTGGAAGATGTACCCGCAGGGACATACCATATTGTTCCCGCAACGTATGTACCTGGTCAGGAGGGGCCATTCTTTTTAATCTGTAAATCTTCTTGTAATTTGCAGCTACAACTTCTTTAACAAATTAAATAAATTGTTGAACTGTAAGTACAGATATCAGGCTGCTTATATTCATCTATAGTTGTACATATGCCAGTTTATCAGCGTTGATTTCATTTAGAACATCTTTTTAAATCAATCTTTGATAAAAGTTTAATTAATCGTTAGTTATTTTTACCGTAACTATTGTCCAATTCAAATTTTTTCCTAAAATCCGGATCTTTCACTGAAATGTTTCTTAAATTAGTTAGCAATCACTGACAAAAATACAGCATTATCTATTTTAATATGTACATAACTATTTATAGAAAAAAATACCTGCACAGTTGAAAAAGTCATTTGTAATCTATAAATAATTATAAAAATAAATTCGGGAAAGAGTAATTTACAGACGACTACCTCATAATAGATTTATTTTATATTCCAAAAATATATATGAACGAGACTAGACATTCATTAAATTTTGTTACCATAAAAAATTGTCAGACTTATTATATTTACGGTTGTTTATGTTACTAATATTTTAAAGAAAAATTTGACAACACAAGCAACACATAAATCAAATGTTTTAGTTCGTACTTATGATTGCGTTTGGGGAGAATATGTACAAGGCACTACAGTCTAAAATTTTGACCGATTGTGGTATGTAAACGTATCTAAAATAAATTGACAAAGTATTTTTATTACTTGTTCCTATGTATAATCGACATGCACAATATATCGAATAAATTTTGGAAAAATATTTTAGTGTAATATGCTATACATTGCAAAGACATTGATGTAATAACATATATTTAATTAAAAATATTTTCATTTGCATAGAGACAAAAATATTTGGAGAACTGCATATCGTGTTTACACAGACAATTATACAATTACCTTAAGTTAAATAATAAGTGGACTTGTGACACATAAACTCTTAATGTACATCTCTGTAAATAGTAAATCCATTACATTGCTCTTATCATCTTTACTGTATGTATTGGAAATTCTTTCTCCACACATGCGCACCCTTTGCACCTTTTTATGGCATCTTTTATTTTAATATATTAATAAATTTAATTAGTTTATATTGTGTGTGTGATTTTTACATGTACAAAATATTAATTTTTGTATACAATATACATATAATAAACATAGATAGTGAAAATATTGCAGAATAAATCGTAAAACAAACAGGGAAAGGTAATCCACACACATATACATATACGATAATTTTGTTTTCTAATATGTACAGACTTTATGATATATATTAGTGGTGTTTCTTCATTTTTTTCTTTTTATATCAAAATGATTCTCAGCAATTTTAGTTTGTTTTGCCGAATTAGATTTACCATATATCGAGTATATTGACATAAAGATAGACATCTTTTCACTTCGTCATTCTTTCATGCACTGTAAAAAGAATATAAGTCAATCTTACAATTAGCTGATGAGAAGTTTTGCAAAAGAGAAAGACAAGTTGAATGAAGTGGAAAGGAAAAACTATATCTGTTCATACAATTTTAAGACAGATAACTTCCATCCTTTTGACCACGCATGAAAGATTATAGATTATTGTTCTAATAATGTTTATTATAATACGAGTTTCTATTAATACAAAAATAGATTATAAAAATGCTGGTGTTAATACATACATCAATAATGAGGTATTATATATTATTAAAGAATTCAGTAAATATACTGAAGAGTTCGTGAGATTCGTGAAATTAACTGGAAGATTGAAAGCTTCATACAAAGAGATATGTTAGTATATTCGTTTCCTGTGTAAAAAATAAATAATATATGAAGTCGCATAAATATCTATGAGATAATACGGTGTCCCACATTTATAATAAACATTTAATAATAAGAAAAAAAAGTATAATTCAGTAATTTTAATAGTACATATCTAGAGAAACCAGTTACGTATATTTTGATTAATATGCATATTTTTCGAAGAATGTAAAATGTTTAGTTAAAAGTGACACTTTTTAAGTATTTAAATTGTTCGACTGTTCGATATCATATAATACAAAAGAAGCTGAAATAACTTTTTGATTCATTTCAAATACAACCATGTTCTTTATGTATATAAGATAGCTATAGTTTGCCTCCAAGCTGCCAATATTGAAGATTGTACTTCGCCCTGTGCCTTTAAATAACTTCTGTATGATTATTTTTTCATGTAGGATGGACAAAGTTTCGCAATTACAAAAATCGTAAAGTTTTTATCGCGTCAATTGTTAACGATAACTTCTTTGATTTTGGAGTCGATTAATACTATAAATTTGTTACAAAAAACATCGGTTGTTGCATCCTTTCGTTTTCGTTATCTTCATAGTTATGTCTATTATTGAACTTTTCTTACAGAAAAATTACCCCTCCAAATTCATTCAAGTCTATTGACAATTGACGTGACAGCTAAATACCTAGTATATTAAATTTATTTAATTTATATATTCCTGTTTACATCGCGTGCAATATTTCTTTTATTCATATCATTGTATCTAAACTTTTTATTTATTATTTTCATAATTGTACTTCAAATTTGTAAATATATTGATTTATGCATTAATATTATTTTTCTTTTTGTTGATTTCATGTTTTAAATATATCTAATAAAGAAAATTAGACAGTTTTCAATAAATGATAAACGTGCATATTAAATTTTCGCACAAAAGGAGATTAATTTTAAATCACCTAAATAAGTAAAGTAATGTAAATATTTATGCAGATATTTGCATTATGTAATATACATATACTAGCAGTTTTTGTTAATTAATAGCAACTTTCACTTAATATACTGAAATTTAATTAATATAAATAAATTTAAAATATTTCTATAAGATACAATATCCAAAAGGACAGAATATAAGGCGATATATGTATATATGTATATATATATATATATTAATTTTTTAATTACGTTCCATTTTGATCTACGATTAAATTTTTGTAGATGTATATCTTACAATTTTTGTTATGTGTATATAATTAAATCTATTTTTATATTACAAATTTAGTAGTAATATATCATAGTACATATCATTCTTTTGAGGCTTTCTAAATAGTCGCATCTCATAGAAATATTTTAAATTATTATAAAGCATTAATACTCGCGACAAAAAATATGATCACATTTCGTGCAAAACAATGTTTTGCATAAAGAGATGAAATAAATCACTAAAATACTAAATAGATCTTATGTGCAGAATAAAATTAAAAGGAAATAAAAATTTTACAATAGTAAATGAGAATTGGACATTACTCAGTTATGTATAAATGAGATATATGCGCAGTGAACATCTGCTCCTTTTTTACTAGGATATGCTATATTAAATATATATTATACGTTATTGTCAAAGTATAAAACTACTTTCTAATGGCATGATGCTTGATGCATGTGAGAGAAGAAATGGTATAATTACAAAATGCTGCCCATCTTGAATTTTTATTTTCATCTACTAAACTCTGGAAGTGGCTTAGCTATCCCTTCGCTATAGGCTTTATGAACTGCTTCACACACAAATCTATATTGACTCTGAAAAGAATATCATATTCAAATAAACAGAGCAATATTTTATGTTATCTAATTATATGTATAGTAGTCAGAATAAATAAAACTTACAGCATTCTGTATCATCATTGCTCTCTGATCTCTCATAGAGCGTACAATATCTAATGGATACACTGGTTGATTAGCTTCAATTAAACACAGTGCAGTTTCCATTAAAACTAATACACCGGTTCGTCCTATTCCAGCAGAGCAATGCACAACCGCAGGTTCGACTATTCCAGTACGAGCTGCTCGAACGCGTTCTGTAAACGTAGTAAATTGTCGCCAATCACTGGGCACTCCGTGATCGGGCCAGCTGCAATACTGCATATGCGTTATATCCCTTTCCTCTCCAGTCTGCAAAGATGCACATAGTACGTGAAAATACGCACATTATTATATTATCAGGTATTATATCTCATACGTGTGTACTAAGGAATACAAGAAATTTTAATAGTACAAAGCTTCACTCACATTAACATCGCGAAGTATGAATTCTCTAAAAATAAATGTATCCTCGGCATTTTCTGCAGTCGATGTAAGTGTGAGATTCCTTAACGTGAGAGTCTCGTTATACGCCGGCCAGTATTGGTGACACTTTGCGCGACCACGTTCAACTAGAGTTGTGAGCATAACGACAAGTGTACTACCCGCTTCTAAGACCATTTGCCAAAAGTCGGCAACGGTGGAAGACAAGGGACCCTGCGTGGCAATATACCTATTAATAATGCCTGAACCTGGTATTTCCATGTTCACATAATTGGCATTGATGTAATCTCCATTCGCAGATCCCATCAAGATTACTCGAGTAACGTCGTCTATAAAAAAAAAATACATACATTTTATACAATCATTATTTCAATAGTTGCTCCATCAAAAAGATGGATAAGTCTCTTTAATAATTTATCGATATATAATAATTAATTCATTACGTTATAGAGGAAACTGTAACTTACACGGCGAAATATCCCGATAGCGATTTTTTGATTGATTTTCTGGTTTTTTTGATTCGAGTGACACAAGTTCCGGATTTTTTCTATATAGCTGCTCATACTGCGCGATAAGAGCGCCGCTTGCTAAACCGTCCGCGAGCAGTAACATAGATTGGGCCAGCGCGTCAGATCCAATAGCTGCATGAGGTGCATCAGGTACATACCTTGCAATTTGTCATAACAAATTAGATTCAGCTAAGTTCGATACATACAGAAAAACATAACTATAATTCGAAGTTGTATACCTATAAGGCGGTTCCTCTTCGGATGTCTCGTCAGTACCAGCCAATGCATTATACAGGGCGTTAGGTCTGACGGTTAAAGTAAGTTCACCAGACCCACGATCGCGTGACTGCCGTATTAAATTTACCACGCGCTCGTGCAGCAAACCACTCACGTCGATTCCGTTGATGTAAACAACCTGCATAAAGAAATACTGCGTTTTACGATACGCAAGAAAGAAATATCAGACTATCGATGCGGATGTATAAAATGATTAGGTACTTGATCTCCTTCATTCAATTTTGGGTAACAGCGATCAGCGGGCGTGTTTGGTGCTACTCGTGATACCAAGATTGGCATATCCAAATCTAATCCACCTTTTACATTAAAACCAAAACGACCTTGTTCGTCTGGCGTCAGAGATATGGTTACTAAACCGTCTTCTAATATCTGAAACAATGAAAAATATATTTATCGAGTATCTTTACTTGATTCGTTAATTATTACATGTGTTTTCGATAGACATACTTGTGGGGCCGGTGAACTGGTAGGTTCGCTATAGTCCGGCAAATCGTAAATATTTCTTTCAGCAGTTGTATCATCGTCTGCATAACTGAATACTCGAGATCCTAACGCTGGAGAAAACGCTCCACCTTGCGTGTAGCTTCCTGTTATTTCTTCCCTCAAAGATAAAAAACCACCTTCACTATAAGAGGAGATAAATGAAACTAAAGATGCTAAATAAAAATAAATGTCAACTACATGTTATTTTTACTGCTAACATAATTTGTTTTATAAATTATACAAATTATAATGTAAAAACTTATATTGTACATTTCAGAACATAATCTCTTTCATCTAAATTTCGTAAATAAAATTGTAATCCTCTGTTTGTTGATCATTTATGCGCAGTTCAGAGCAGAGTAAACTATACTACGTTATTATTGTATGTAACTAACTCGTCACTTGGATTTCCTTCACCCCATGCTTGACGAGGTTCACGAGCACCAAGGGATTGAACCTTATTGTCGTAAGATCGTGGAGGTCTTCCAGGAGGTATTGTCAGTTTTCCCTTGTCCTCGGTAACAGGCGCCGTTGCAATAGTATGAGCAAGTTTCTTACTGGGTGATCTAGATGTTAAAAACTTGATAAGAAAAGTATCTACAAAATATAGATTTAACATTGGATTATTGCAAATTTTATTATAGCTACCGTATAAATGTCCTTTCCACGCGTGCTCTGTGCTTTCCATCCTCAACCGTTTGAAATTCCGTACGTCCTGAATACGTAAATCTACTACTTAGAGTAAGGGGAAACCGTTTCGGTCGCATTTTCGGACTGTGAAGTCTAAAGAAGGTATGATGCTCAACACAAGCTTTCCACAA